ATATATTTTTATATATATATATATATATATATATATATATATATATATGTATGTGTATGTATGCACGTATGTGTGTGTGTGTGTGTATAAAAAAGTTTATGATACATTTTATCAAAATGTACCAGAATAAAGTATAAAATCTCTTATAAACTATTGATTTTTGATAATTCTACTTTAATATCCACTTTTAATATGCAAAATAACTAGAAGAATCATATTATGTAAAAAAATCATATAATTTCACTTAAAAAATTTATTACCTTAAAAAAAATTTCTTTTATAGTATAATATTGCAAATTAATAATTTTTTAAATATGTATTTTGTCGTATCATTAAAAGCAATAGAGTTGTTCTAAATGTTCGAGTTAAAGGAAACAGCTTGTATATATAAATATATATATATAGAGAGAGAGAGAGAGAGAGAGAGAGAGAGAGAGAGAGAGAGATAAAAGAAATGTAGTAACTTTTGTTTAGGAATTCAAATACGTTTAAATTATTTCCTGTTTCAAATTTAATAATAGTGACAAACGGCCTCAAGACAAAAATATTTATGTTTGTAACAATTTAATTAGAGACGGTTTTTATATGAAAAAAATACACATAATATAACATGAATACATATATTATATAATATATGGTTATTTTATCTCGTATGACTATTTTACTTACGTTTTTTCTTATTCGCTGTCGTGCAGTTAACGGCATCATCACCAGCAGTTTCAGAACCAATATGCTACCCCAAAAGCCAAATACTTTGAGTACTTCTGGATTTATTTCAGGCATCTTTTCTGATCTTTGAAATCGTCTTCTCGAATGTACGATGATGACTCTGCTAGTTTTGCACGTAGTCAGTAGAGTGACTTGACTGCTTTACAATAACCGACGTTCCCTACTTCACCTAACATACACATACACTTAAAACAGATATCTCTTACTATATATACATGTACTGTAGTATGTGTATATATAATGTGTTTATTAAAAGCGATTATAGTGTTATTAGTTAACATGATCAGCAAATTTTAATTAAAGTGTAAGGAAAAAAAAAGATTATTTTCTTTTAATTACATATTTATTGAGATAAAAGTTTCTCATGTATCTAATATTTTATATCACACAAAATGAAATAATTATATTTTTTATATGTAAAGCATAAGACTGCGTTCTCTCAAACATATTGGTTCTGTTATTAAATTGGTTTTAAAATAATTTAAATGTATAATTTTATTTAATCAATTCTCAAGTATTTATATTGTGAAACTTTGCACCTTGTAGACTTAATAAAATTAAAATGAAGTTTAGAAATAGTAAAATATTCATATTTTTAGCTGCACTTTTAATCATCTTATTACATTCGAAATCAAACATTTTCAGATTTAGTGGACAGGATCATAAATAAAAGAAAAGAATCATAAATAAAAGATTTACAAGTGCATATCAATGTAGTAAAAGTGGTCAAATTGATAAAAACTAACATTTATATTATAATTTTGAATTCTCTATTTTCGTGAAATCAAACAGAAAATCGTTTATATTTTTTCCCAAATAACATGCTGCTTGACGAATATTTAAAGATCAAAGGTTAGATAGATACCAGCATCTCTTCAACCTAACCTAACCTTGCGATCGACTCCCATAATCTCGCATATCCTCGTGGTTTCGTGCTCGTCGGCTTTTTTTTTTGTCAAAAACATGACCAGCGACTACAGCGCAACATCAGATAACGAATCGCCTGTAATTGGCGTATACTTTCGGATCGGCGAATCCGATTGACGATTGGTCTCTTTTAAATTGATATTTCTTAGATTAGTTTATATTAAAACGAGAAATTATTCCCTTATATGTACTATATATAAATTTTTATATTTCTCTATATAAATTATTCATGTTTTACTTTATGCCCAAATAATTTTTATTGTTCAAAGTTAGAGTGGAGGATTTAAAGTGTTACAAGCTATGTAATTACATATCATTTTTGAAAAGCAGCTATGTGTTTTTTTTTTACATCAATTAATTCATTTCATTATTCTGTGCATAAAGATATCAAAGTATGTTTAAAAATCAATAATTATACGAGGTATTTTATGTGCCAGAATAAAGTATAATATATCCCGTAAACGATTAATTTTTCGATATTTCTTAATACTTTTGTACACAAAATAGTAGGGGAATTATATTATGTAAAAAAATATATCATTCTATTTAAAAAAATGGAGGTAACTTGCATGTGATCTAGAAAAATTGATTTTATTATTATTTGTTCCCCTTGAAATTATACAATTTTGTCTGAACATATTTTTAATTCGACGCATATTTTCAGGGATAACAACTTGTAATACTTTATATTATGTCCAACTCTGTATACTAAAAGCAAACTGAACTGAACTTAGAATTTTTATTAGGAAAACGTATATTTTATTAAATAAAGATATTATATATTTTTGTACGTGAAAATGTACAATTTTATAAATCATGCTTAAATTTCTAGGTATACTCGTGACCGAGATCAGAGTAGTAGAGGCCGTCGTGGTGGTACTGCGAAGATAGGAACAAGTACTGGCAGAGGCGGCATTGATAATGGACGTGGTGGTAGCAGGTTTGGCACACCTAGAGGAAACTCCAATAATTTGCGAGGGGGATTGAAAGGAAAGCAACCTGGTGGCGGTCTAAGGAAAGTAAACTGGGATCTTTGTACTTTGGAACCAATACGCAAAGATTTTTATATAGAGCATCTCGCAGTCAGGAACAGGTATTAGTACTATTAGTGATATTAAATTTAGTATGGGATAAACAATGAAATGTGCTCACGACTTTAATTCTTAGATCTACCGAAGAAGTATATCATTTTCGAGAGAACGCAGAAATAACTGTGAAGGGTGACAATATTCCTAATCCCATACAATATTTCGAGGAGGGAAACTTTCCACCTTACGTAATGGAAGGTATTCGTAGAGAAGGGTATTCACAGCCTACTCCAATTCAAGCTCAAGGATGGCCTATTGCACTTAGCGGCAGAGATCTTGTTGCAATCGCTCAAACTGGCTCTGGAAAGACACTTGGAGTAAGCAGAATTAGAAGTATATTTAATACAATAATAAATAGATATATAATATAATAGTAAATACGTATAATATTTAACCAATGAGAGAATTTTAGAATATTTTATTCGTTTCCTATTCCCATTTGTCCAATTATTTAAGTAGCTTTACATACATACTTTATATAGTTTAAATAAAATGTTGATTAATATATTGGATATATGATTTAAAGATGTTATTTGTATACGTTTGTATTAGATTATTTTATTTTCTTTTTTCAGTATATTTTACCTGCAATTGTGCATATCATACATCAACCGCGCATAAACACTGGTGATGGACCAATTGTCTTGGTCTTAGCTCCAACCAGAGAATTAGCTCAACAAATTCAAGAAGTAGCTAATAGCTTTGGAGAGACTGCGGCTGTAAGAAATACGTGTATTTTTGGCGGGGCTCCAAAAGGACCACAGGCACACGATTTGGAGAGAGGCATTGAAATATGCATTGCTACGCCAGGTAGACTTATAGATTTCTTAGAAAAAGGAACTACAAACTTATGTAGGTATGTAAATCTATAAAAATTCAGTGATAAATCAAAATTACCTGTATATCGGAAATTAATAATATGAATTTACACAATCTAAATATTCTTTTATTCGTTAATTTCAGATGTACGTATCTAGTTCTCGATGAAGCCGATCGCATGCTTGATATGGGATTCGAACCTCAGATACGAAAAATAATTGAGCAAATACGCCCCGATAGACAAGTGCTAATGTGGTCGGCGACGTGGCCTAAGGAAGTTCGCGCGCTTGCAGAGGATTTCTTGACAGATTACGTTCATCTCAATATCGGTTCTTTGACTCTGTCGGCCAATCATAACATTACTCAAATCATTGATGTTTGTCAAGAGTATGAGAAAGACTCGAAACTGTATAGATTGCTTCAAGAGATTGATACTGAAAAAGAGAATAAGACTATTATATTTGTGGAAACCAAACGTAAAGTTGACGATCTCACGAGAAATATTAGACGCGAAGGCTGGCAAGCTGTGTGTATTCACGGTGACAAAAACCAGCAGGAAAGGGATCATGTATTACAAGAATTCCGCAGTGGAAGAGCGCCGATTTTAGTCGCAACTGATGTAGCCGCTAGAGGCTTGGGGATGTAAAAATCTATTCAGCAATGTTTTGGTGTAGGCGAGAAAGTCACGGTGAAACTGGGTATTGGCAACACTTATTGGATTAGCCGGATGATGCGTTGTTAGAGTGAGGCCAGCCGACAGCTGTGTATGTAGCAGTGTGTGATGCATTGGAACTTTTTTGTCATATTCGTCTCGATTGTATTGTAAAGCCATGTAAAATTGACATTTTTCTGATTTATGCCTTTTTATGCATTTTTCATTCTGCAATTTTTGTTCTGTGATTACAGGTGTGTCGAACAAACTTTTTTAACAATTTGTTGATTTATTGTTTTTTTTATGTAAACCCATTTTTTTTTAAATTGTAACCCCATTTTTGTCGTATATAAATAAATCTACCTTTTATTTTCATGTAAAAGTCATAGAAACGTTTTTGCTACATGTTTAATTTATAACTGTATTAATTGATATATGACTAGTTTCAGTGTTGAAATGAAGAGTTATTAATTTTGATAATAATGTACATGTAAGATCAAGGTTCTAAAAATGCACACAAGCTACCACTAAGTCTGTCTGCTTTTCTTTTTCAGAGGCACAGAGTACCCTAACTCAACGCGGTGTACTGCCAGTATTGGGCAGACACAGTGACTATTTTATTTTCCTTTGCTTATATATTATAACAATTTCTAAATGGAAAGCTAGATTTATATCCGATTTAACTTCTGTATTAATTTTCTCATTATGGAATAGCAAAGTAGACTTTATAACGACCATTAATGCACTAATCAATAATCAATGCATTTAAATAACATGACAATCAATACATGTGTATTTAAATATTACTTGTAGTAATTAAAAAATGAAATGGGTTTCTTTTAAGCAAAGTTTCAAAAAATATGTGAATTAATAATTATAAACATATAAATTTGTAATTGCAATATGAAAACTTAAAAAGTGCAATTGCTAAATTTGTTATCCAGTGCCTCCAACTTTAACTTTAAGAAATGATCATACACAGTGCCTATCAAAACTAATGCACTCAGGCTTAAACCCTAAATTGCTGCCTCTATCCCAAACCAGACACAACCGCTGTGTCTGTCTAATCTCTAGGCCGCCAATATATTACCATAAGAAAGCAATCAGAATTGCCCCACTTTAAAAGCAAACGGGGTCGTTCTTGCTGATTTCACATCGGAATTTTCAAAAGGTGGGTGTCTAAATCTATTTTATTGACTAAATTTATCTGGAAATTAATGTCAATAATTTTTTGCCAAAATGTAGCATTTTATTCAATATGCATTTAAGTTATTTAACACTTATTAGAAATATATTTTTCTTTTATTCTTTTAAACATCAATCATTCTTTATTAATATCTGACAATATCTATATGCATGAACACATGCACTAATATATTAAGTAATGTTTAATTAAATGAGGAATATTAATTTAGTTTTTGAATGAGAAAAAATTATAAAATAACATATATAATATATAATATATAATAATAATATATAATATAATAATTTTATAATTTTATATATATATATATAAATTACAGATTTTTTTTAGTTTACATACGTTTTATCGAGATATTTTGTTTTAT